GTGACTGCTCCTGTCTTGGCTCTGCCAAACTATGCTGAACCTTTTGTTATTGAGACAGATGCAAGTGGTACAGGTATTGGTGCTGTCCTAATGCAGCAGGGGCACCCTATTGCTTATATTAGTAAAACACTGGCCCCTAGATATCAGTCCATGTGTGTTTATGATAGAGAATTGCTGGCATTGGTTTTTGCTGTGACTAAGTGGTCACATTATTTGTTAAGTAGACCCTTCATAGTCAGGACCGACCAGAAGGCATTGAAGCATCTGCTGGAACAAACTATACACACTGATTTTCAAGTGGCTGGTATCTCAAAGCTTATGGCTTTTGACTTCACTATTGAATACAAAAAAGGACTGGACAACAAGGCTGCTGATGCTCTCTCTAGAAATCAAGGTGCAGAGTTATTGGCCTTGTCCTTGCTTACACCCCATGATACACTTTTCTGTCAGATTCAACAATCTTGGACTTCTGATGCTGCTTTACAGACCTTGATCACTAAACTGATAGTGCAACCTTATAAATCCTTTACTTGGATTAACTCTCAGCTTAGGTGGAAGGGAAGATTGGTGGTAGGGTCTGACCATCAGCTGAGAGAACATATTATTCAGTTGTGGCATTCTACACCTCAGGGTGGCCACTCTGGAATGGATGCTACCATTAGGAGATTGCAGTCCCTATTCTACTGGAAGACCATGGTTACAGATGTCAGGAGTTTCATTAACAGATGTGATGTGTGCCAGAGACACAAGTATGATGCTTCAGCTTATCCTGGCTTAATTCAACCTCTACCTATCCCTGAAGGTGTTTGGACTGACATTAGCTTGGATTTCATTGAGGGTTTACCTAAATCTAAAGACAAGGATGTCATTCTAGTGGTGGTTGATAGGTTGAGTAAGTATGGCCATTTCATTTGCTTGCAGCATCCTTATACTGCTCAGACTGTAGCTCAAAGCTTCTTGGACAATGTGTTTAGGCTGCATGGTATGCCCTCTACTATAGTGAGTGATAGAGACCCTGTTTTCTTGAGTTCATTTTGGCAAGACTTGTTCACCTTGCAAGGAGTTCAATTGCATAAATCTACAGCCTACCATCCTCAAACAGATGGTCAGACTGAGGTCTTGAACAGGACCTTGGAGACTTATCTGAGGTGTTTCTGCTCAGATAAACCCTTAGAGTGGGTTGCTCACTTGCCTCTTGCTGAGTGGTGGTACAACACAACCTATCATTCAGCTATCAAATGCTCCCCTTATGAAGTTCTTTATGGTCAAAAGCCACCTATTCATCTTCCCTATTTGGCTGGTGAATCCTCTAATGAGATGGTTGACAGGTCCTTGGAGGCTAGGGAAGCTATTATTGCCTTGCTGAAGTTCCAATTGTCCAGGGCTCAACAACGAATGAGAGATCTGGCCAATAAACATAGGTCTGACAGACAGTTTAGTGTGGGTGATTGGGTCTATTTAAAGCTACAGCCTTACAGGCAGTTCTCTGTGGCCACTAGACCCTTTAACAAGTTAGCTGCTAAGTACTTTGGTCCCTATCTGATTGATGCTAAGATTGGGGAAGTTGCTTATAAGCTTTTGCTCCCAGCAGATGTATTGATCCATCCTACTTTTCATGTATCACAGTTGAAAAAATGCCATGAAGTGCCTGCTGTCCTCAACCATCCTCCAGTGTTCCATATATCTAGTCCCTACTGCCCCTTGCCTGAGGCTATATTAGAGAGGAGGATGATCAAGAGGGGTAATAAGGCTGTTTGTCAGGTGTTGGTTAAATGGCTGGGCATTGATGCAACTCAGGCCACCTGGGAAATTCTCACAGAGTTGCAGCATAGATTTCCTTCATTCCAGCCTTGAGGACAAGGCTATTCTTCAATTGGGGGGTATTGATGCAAGTATATGTAGTCAAGTTAGTTAAAATGAATGTAAAGGAAACTGAAAATCTGTTAGAAAGCTGTTAGAACTGTTAGGCAGTTAATACTGTTCAGCTGTCAAGAAATTAGTTAGTTAGTTACTTTTGTTGTATTATTCTTTAAGTCATTTTACCCATTGATTAGTTGTATAAATACATGGGAAATGTACTGATTCACTCATTCATGAATAATATCATTCTATTCTTCCTTCCTTCTTCTACATCTTCTCAACTAATATTCTCGGCTGTACCCTGAATTAGTTTTCATCTTCTTCGAGCCACAGCTCCTAGATTAACTACTATCAATCACGATTGAGTGTGAGTGCATCAATCTGTAGCCAATCTCCTATATCTCCAAACGGGAAGCATCCGTGTATTTCCTCTTCGTATTTTTGAACTATCTCAACCTCATTTTCTACATTTTGTCCTCCATCGAGGCTTCAAATGGGAAATGTCGCCATCGGTTAATTCTTTAATGTATACATTAAATTGCTAGTGGCCTAGTTGTTAATGAAGTTGTTGAGAACTCTGAGGTCTCAGGTTCAAAACTCAAGTGGAGACAAAAAACACTACGTGATTCTTCCCATCTACCGTAGTTTTGGTGTGATAACTTATTGTTGGTGGGAGGTGGCAAATATTCCGCTATCTACTTTTATATTTGGTAGTTCAAATTGCCTCTAAATTTACCTAAATTATTGTTAAATGCTTTAAATATGTGTTTACAAAATGATAAATCGTGTACATATCTAATAGCAAATACCTTAATTGGTACTATGTACTTTAGAAATTACAAAGGTTCAAAATTACGTTACACTTGAAAATAATTAAAAATACTTATGTGGCTAGAACTGAATTATGAGACTAAATTACCTAGGTTAAAAAAAACCTAATTTTGAGGTTTTCATTTACCCTAGCTAGAACTGAAGCATTTCACAGAACTCAGAAGTAGGGGCATAAGGTGTTTGACAAAAGTCCAAAGAGAAAAAAGGCAGATTCCATCATCAACAATCTTCTTCCTTGGTAAGCTTTAAATCTTTCTTCCATTATTTTTTGGATATTTTTCTGTGTTTTTATCATTTTCTTTTCCTTTTGGATGAACTTGCAGTCTCTGAAACTAATATATATCTATCTATCTTCTTCTGTTTCAAGATTCTGTTTTCATTTGTTGGTTTCCTTTATGGGTGTATGTATGTGTTCATTAAATCAATAGAAGTTACATAAAAAAGTGTTCTTTGAAGGTTCAGATTCCAGCTGAGTCAATAAAATTAGGTATGATGGGAAATGTTCAGCTGTCATTGTGTTTTTTACTCAGGGTCTGTCTCTGGAATACTTTTGGTATTGATGGGGTTGCTTTAAGTATGTGGAAATCTTGAAATCCAGAGTGATAGATTGTTTACACTGTGTTATCTGACTTGATAATTCTACTAACGTTGGCTTATTGTTAGTAATGGTTGGTGGGGGTGGGGGTTGAGGGGGTAATCTTTCATATGACAGAGGATATGCTTGTTGGAATTGATGTTTAGGCAGTTCTTTGTTTTTGTTGTTGTTGACAAGGGGAATTGCTGCTGTTATCCTTTGGATGTGCACAAGGTAAAACCCCACTCCTATGCAATAGCCTGCAAACCGCACAAGAGAAGTATACCACATTAGGCAAGCCATGTCAGACGAGTTCGACCCAAAAGAAAACCCCCTTGCTGTCGCAAGCAAAGGATTTCGAACTTGTGACCTCCATTATGGAAGTTCCAAGCCAAACCATCTTACCCAACCCGAAGGGTAGATGTTTAGGCAGTTCTTTATTAGTGGGATTTGCCAATCTTCTCTTGGAAGTTCTGTATTAGTGGGCAGGTCATGTCAGTAGACTTGGAAGAATAGAACACAGACCCAAGGCAATAGTACAAATGGAAATTTTGATAATATTCAATGAAAGTGGCACTCTAAGAATTGAAATAAGGTTGGCTGTTTGGAACAATTTGAACATTCTTTATATAGGGTCCAAATCACTCTTTTGGTAATCAAATACAGCAGCAACACACCCTGTGTAATCCCACAAGTGGGGGGGGGGTAGTGTGTACGCAGACTTTACCCCCTTAGCTTGGGAGGAGGAGAGGTTGTTTCCGATAAATCATCAGCTCACGTCTTTTGGTAATCATATAGATTGATAAACATAAAGAAGTGATGACAGACAGGAACCTGAAACAAAAATGCATGTTTATTAAGTGGTGATAGTTATTTTTATTTTTACCACTTATCTTATGTATATCATTATTTTTTATTTTATTGAAATGGTAAGTAATATTGATATAGTACAAAGATTGTGCCTGAATCCTATAGAACAGATGCCACACTAATAGGTGGTTGATAGTCTTTATGCTTCCATCACATATAACATATCTTGCAGAACCGTTAGCCTCTCCTTTTGCAAATTATCTTGTGAATAAGACATGCTCCTTTGGACATGAACCACATAAAACACGCAACCTTGTAGAAGAATTGGAACTTACAAATAGTATCCATCTGAGAAGGACAGGGAAGAACAGTTACGGACGCATAATGGCATTTGGCAACAATCTGGATAAAAGGCAAATCCACCTTTTTAGATATTCAATCATCAAGGATCTTAAGTCTTGTTAAGCTTAAAATGTGTCTCAGTATCATTATTTTTGTTTTAAATTGTTTCTTTCCTTTTCGGATGAATTAAAGTCTATTAGGCAGGTTCTATCATCTTATTTGTACCCATTTTTAGATGTTGGTTTCCTTTGTATATGCTAAAGTTTAGTAATTGCGGTTGCTGTATTCTCCAGCTCTCGGCTCAACTTTCTTAGTGATGTTGAATGACATGATTGTTCAGTTTCCACTGTGTTTATACTAACCAGGCAAGTTAAGGGTTCTTCAAATTGTGGGAATTTCCTAGTTTGGTGATTGGAAATTCAGTAGTAGTGTATTTGATGTCAAATCCAATTCAGATCTTCTAAGCAGATTTTAAGAGCGAAAATTACCAAATACTGGACAATTTTTTCTCCTTATCGTGTAGCTATAGATGACCACTGAGAATCTTATTAGCGGCAAACGGCTGTGTGATTCTCATATGTGCTCTTTTGATTTTTCCCTTTCCAATAACAGATCTGTAAAATCCCCTGGATTCATGAAGTATTTATGGAAGGTGTTCTTGCTTTAAAGACTGCAATTCATTGATTTTACGAGGAGTTGGATGATTATTGTCTGTGTGCTACGTGCAGATAATTTGGTGATTACTTACCTTTGTGTTTTTGTTTATTTTCTGCAGATTCCCATTGGCATTGTATGATGCCACCTGAGAGAAGAAAGAGTGGTCGTCAAGGGTTACCTATTGATCGACTTAGCAACCTTCCAAAGAATGTTATCAATTCCATCCTGATGCGTTTGCCTTTGCAAGATGCTGTAATGACAAGCATCTTATCGAAGAAATGGAGGTATAAATGGTGCAGACTTCCACAGTTGACACTTGATGATGACCTTTGGGAGGAGACTCATGACTTACTATCCCCTTCTATTAAGTTTACAAAAATTATGTACCAGATTTTGACCCTTCATTCAGGACCACTTACTAAGTTTACCCTCTCCATTTCTGCACTGAGAAAGTATCTTAAGATTAACAGTTTGATATATTTCCTCTCTAGGAATGACATTCAGGATCTTGTTCTTAAATTTTCGGAGTGGAACCGATACAGATTGCCGCCTTCATTTTTCACGTGTTCTCAGTTGAGGCATTTGACTCTCCAAAATTGTGTAATATGCCCTCCACCAGCCTTCAAAGGATTTGATATGTTAAATAGCCTGAACCTGTGTGATGTGACCATTTCTTCCAAATTACTAGAAAGTTTAATCTCTTATAGCCCCTTACTAGAGAAGTTGGTGTTGAAAATCTCAGATACTTCAGACCACCTTCAAATTAACGCTCCCAATTTGAGATCCTTCGACTTCACAGGCTGCATAAAATATATTTCTTTAAGGAGTGTTCCTCTTCTTTCTAAACTTTCTCTTCCGTGTCAAAAATCTATTGAGGAATCAGAAAAATGTGATTTTGACAAATTTTTTCAGTTACTTTCTGCTCTTGAGCATCTCTACTTGGCAAATGGAAGTGACCAGGTAAATATTGCTTCACACCTTCACTGTAATGTGTTTCCATAAGAAGTACCATCTTTTGGAATTTGAGTCATCCTGATTTTTCACTTTCTTTGTAGTTCTTGGTTACAGGTGCAGCTGAAGTCCCAAGAAGACTTTCCTCTCCTCTTAACTATCTTAAACGTTTTAACATAACTCTCTGGAGATTAGCTGATTTTTCCATTGCTCTTTGCTTGATACGAAGCTCACCGTACATACAAGATATTGAAATGGAGGTTAGTAGTGATGTTTATATTTTTCTTTTTTCTTCTGTATGTGTTATTCACATGTAGTGATGACTTCCTTAATTTCACACTCATTAGATCTTCAATCTTCTCTATCTTTCTTAGGTATATTGCTCGAGGGATTATTTATCAGAAAAACTTGAGGCCTCTAATGAAGTTGATGAAGTTCTCGCAAGTTTCTCAGATGTGACGTTGAATCACCTTAGGACAGTTCAGCTTGAAGGAGTTGAGGGCATAAAGATCGAATTGCAGCTTATCAAGCTTCTATTGACCAAATCTCCGATGCTGGTGAAAATGCTAATTGATCCATCGAGTAGTGATAACTATGATGCAAGAAGAGACAAGATACTAGCAGCAACAACAGTTCAGCGGGCATCAAGTAAAGCTAATGTGGTTGTATCTGATGAGTATGAATATTATCGAGACACGATTCCATAGTATCTGCTTGTTTTTTGCCTGATCGATAGAGAGAGTTGAAATTCGGATTTCTTGTTTGTAATCATTACAGTGCTATGGGTTTACATTTCATACCTTTTCTTGAATGATCCATGAAATGAAACCTGGATATGAACCTACACTATGGTTGTTTATTTTCAAAGAACTGTGATTTCTTGTGTTATCCTTTTGGTATTTACCATAATCAGTGTTATGTTTCTTTTCTTAATCATAGAGATGTCTGAATGACTAAAAAGTTCAACAGTGTCCTTTTTTAAGGCTGATCTTTATATTTTTTATCCCGCAAAGGTAGGGGTAAGGTTTGTGTACATATTATCCTCCCGAACCTTGAGTGAGTACATGTATGTTGTTGTTTCATGTACATTTGTATATATAGTTGCTTGCGTTACAAGCGGTGGGGAAAAAGAAGTAAAAGTGAAATGATTAGAGAACTTTTGAGCGTTTGTTGAGGAGATGTAAAGGTTAACCTAAAAAGTATTGAGGTGATGTGATTAGGTAAGACGTGATGCAACTTCAACGCACCAAGAACATGATCCTTGATAGGAGGGTGCAAAGGTCGAGGATTATGGGCTTCTCTTATTCCTTTCATCAAGTTCAATATTATGATTTTCTTTTCCTTATTTTTAGATTTATATTTTTACATGTTGTTTCGCTTTGATAACTAATTATATTTTGTAGTTGTTTTTGTTTGTTGCTATTGTCTCTTTTTCATTATTTGTTCAGTTGACGATTTTTCAAAAATAGTTTCTCTATCTTTTCAAAGGTTGGGGTAATGTCTACATTTACTATACGCTGATGCCACCTGTGCGATTACACTAGCACCTTGTTTGGATGGTTGTCACTTGTTGTATTGTATTGTTAGTCTAAATACAACGTTTGTTTTGATTGTTACTTAAACTCTATTGCATAGTATCATTTAAATCCATCATTAGATAACGACGAAAAGACTCAATTTGTGTAAAGATCGATTTGGTGTGAACGCGTCGTTACTTTAATATTTTCTTCTTATTTTATCTTTACTTATTATTTAATAATTCTATTTTATCATTCAGATTATGAAAATCTGTGACATTATGTAACGATAGAGAACGATACAATCTATACAAATGCTATATTCATTAAAATAATACAATACATTACGAAATAATACATAACAAATCAAGTGTAGGTGTGTTTTTGTTTGAACTTAAAAATTGGGGTTATTTTATGCAAATATAAAACATGAGGACATTTTAGTGTTTTTTCCTTTCTTTTCTCCAAAAAAACACACACACTATAATTCACTCTTATGGCTTTTTCGCCAAATCCTCTCTCCGACTGTGGGGGTGATGAACAAACCCTAGATTGAAATTGAAGATTTGAAGAATCCATACATTCAAAGCACTTTAAAGGGTATTGAAATCTACTACTATTTTTTTTTTGAAAAAAAATCATTCCTTTCCCTTTTGAGGTTCTTTAGGATTAACAAATGTTAATAATAGTAAAGCTACTAATTTGATGTTCTAAATCTAGCAAAAACTGATTTTTATGCTGTATATATTGCTTAAAATGAGCAAATTTTGTAAGTTGATAAACCTAGATGAAGCAAACTGAAAAAGGGTATTTGATATAATAGATAATCCTAGTTTTTGGTGAGCTCAAAATGTAATTCTCTCTAAAAAAATTTTGGTTTGATGTTGCAATTGTTGTATGCTAGGGTTTGCTAATTCTAATTCGATGTTTTCAAATCTTGCGAAAATCTGGTGAAAACAGCTTCTTAAGCTTATTTTATGATATAAAATGATGAGTAGAAGTTCGAAAAGGTGAAAACACACCTGAAGTATCCTTTTTTTGAGTGTCATACATGTACTAGTAGTTGTTCTTTTTTCTACTTGAAAGAAGGTGATATTTGCGGTAGGAAAAGGGAACAACCACGTTGAAAAAGTGAACACTTGATCGTTCAGGTAGGAAACTTGCAAAAATGTGATACTTTTAGGTGTGTTTTTTGACTGTTAAATCTTAAAATGACCATATTTTATTGTTTGTATGATAGTTGATGGTAACTTAGACGTAGCAAACAGATTTGGAATCCACAAATGTATTTTATGAAGTATTGATAGGAAGTGCTCTGGCTTTAAGAATGATATTAGTGGATAGGAAGCAATGTTTCATATCCACTATGGGTGTGTGAAGTGTGTTTTTTTTTCTACTAATTTTTCGTGTTTTTTTTGAAGAATCTGCACCAAATATCCTTGCCATTATCATATCCATTCTATTTCGATATGGGTATATCAAGACAAATTAATTATATCTGTCCATATAACAGTGATATTAATAAGAAATGATTGACTGATTTTCAACTAGAATGCACCTTTATTTCTTAAATATATATTGATTTGACAGCGTGAATACAGTTGTGTCCTGATAGTTTAGAGATTGTCAGTTTGACCATATAATTTGGAGATGCCTTCGTAATATTGCTTATTTTCTACAGCTTCTTGGTGATTATTGTTATATGATGCCTCCTAAGGGAAGAGAACATTGTCAAGGTTTACCTCCTGACATCCTTAGCGACCTTCATGATAATGTTATCGATGTCATTCTGATGTGTTTGCCTTGTAAAGATGCTGTGAGGACAAGTGTCTTATCAAGGAAATGGAAGTATCACTGGTGTAGACTTGCAAAGTGGAAGTTTGATGAATCTCTTTGGAGCACACAAAAGGATAAGCTTTACCCTACAGTTAAATTTAGAAAGACAGTCTACCAGCTTTTGACCCATCATGAAGGACCCATTACTAAGTTTAAGCTCGACATTACTTACCTGAAAGAATGTCCTAAGATTGACAACTTCTTATATTTCCTGTCTAGGAAAGACATTCAACATCTTGTTCTTCACCTTCCACAGAAAAAAGATGAACTATACAAATTGCCTTCTTCAATTTTCATATGTTCGCAGCTGAGGCATTTAAATATTCATTATTGCTCAATACATCATCATCCATCGGCCTGTGAAGGATTTGATAGTTTAGTCAGGCTGGAACTATGTAGAGTCATGATTTCTTCTGAATTGCTTGGACATTTAATATCTCATTGCCCGTTGCTTGAGAAGTTGGTGCTGAAAATCGCGAAAACATTAAACGTAACTGAAATTAATGCCCCAATGTTGAGATCCTTTGAGTTCACAGGCAGTGTAAGTTCTATCCGTTTAAAGAATGTCCCTCTTCTGGCAAAAGTATCTCTGATATGTGAAAATTCTTCTATGGAGGCAGAGAAGTTTGATTATGCAAAGTTTTTCCAGTCTTGTTCTGCTCTTGAGCACCTCTTCTTGAACTTCCGTTATGGTCAGGTAGATGTTGCTTCATGACTTCATTGTTTGTACTTTCACATATGGAACTTCTTTTCGGATAAGTCATGTTGAACTTTGGTATATTTTTTCCTAGTTCTTTGCAGATGAAGCACCAACAAGGCTTCCCTTTTATCTGAACCGCGTCAAACATCTTCACCTGTCTCATGTTGAGCTGAAGGAATCATATACTCGCTCATGTGCTCTCTGCTTGATACGAAGCTTCCCACATTTAGAATATCTCAAAATTGAGGTTTTTAATACACGGCTGGTGTTCTTTTCTTTCTCTCTTTCGTTCCTTTTTACTGTTTTTTCTTCATACTTATTAGATCCTCAATAATCTGATAATTAACTTCTCGTTATCTTTTTAGGTTTACAATGAAGCTGATAGTGGTATTCAAGAATCCCTTGAACTCGAACGTTTCTCAGATGTCACATTTAATCACCTCAGGGAAGTTGAGATTATAAGCTTTAGAGGAACAACGCTTGAGATGCAGCTTATCAAGATTTTGTTAGCCAAGTCTCCAGTATTGGTGAAAATGTACATCGATCCAGCAATTCTTATTGACACAGGATCAGAAATTCTTGCTGAGCTAGTAAGTTTTCAGCGTGCATCACCCGAAGCTGAAATAGACGTTGAATATTATGGAAAGTTAGAACTGAATAGGGTAGAAACAAATGTCGATAGAGTCGTTTAACACTGTGTTTTGCCTTGTCGTAGTAAGGTAAAGAGACGTGCGAAAACCTGTTTTGGAACATTTAGCATTTCTGGAAGGATGCTTTGATTAGTTTGTTCTGTAATAACATATTGCCATTACATTTTGCTCATAAATGATTTATGGAATGTGATACACAGGAAGTACTTTTCAACACTATTTTTTTTTATGTGGTGATGTCCGGGCCTCTCTACTTTCTCGAGGTAGAGGTAGAGGTAAGTGTGAACCCTACCCTCCTCGTTGTAGGGGTAAAGTCTGCGTAAACTCTACCCTCCTTAGACCCTATCTGTGGGTGATTACACTGGGTTTGTTGTTGTTGGGAGTCTTAATAGTTTGTCCATTGCATAGCACATATGCAACATTCTTTTTCCACAAAATTTCACATTTTTTGAAAAAAGAGAGCTATGTCTAAGGTATAGAGGTATTCCAAATGCAATATCTTTGAAAAAAATCGTATGGGCTCTGTTCTAAGTGGATAATATGACATCATGATAATAATATCTTTGGGCTAACTTAATCCGATAAATAAACAAAATCATAGTTGATAGTTTGGCTAAATGAGTATGGAAATGACAGAGGGTAGCTCTCGAATCGAGAAACAAGTGTAGCAAAGTGATGATATTCAACGACAAGATTTGAAGTTTATAATATGTACTAATATTCAATGAATTTTGTAACATATATGGAATTTCAATCAAAATCACTGAGTTTTTTTTAACGATAACTCTATGTTCAAAATGTAAAACTTAAGTGGATGATCAATTTTTGAGTCGACAACTAAAATTTAGTCATAATTTCTAGTTGATCAAACTCGAAGAATGATCTATAGAGTTCAAACTTTCACAATTTAATAAAAAAGTTACTGAATAACATAATTCTCTTTACTATTACCTTCAACATTTGTGCTAGAGCTTTCAAATATCCTTTTTCAACTTTGACTTCAAATATTATCTTTTACGGACTTCAATCAAATCATGTCCAAACGCCTACTAAGCACGTCGAAAATGTTGAACTTGCCTGAAATGTTTTTGAGCTTCTAAATTACCAGAAATTGCTTCATCATTCTCCTTCTCATCTTTAATTAATTTGGAACTTTCACTATCATCACATAACATTAAAAAGGGTGTTTAGAACAAAGCCAAATATTAGAATTAAACAAAAAATAGCTGCAATGTCTTGTAAATTCATAATTTTTGTATGAAGAAATAATTAGAAGTGGAATTATTATATATAGAGGGAATTTAAGGTGGTGAATTTTTAGTTGAAAAATAGTGGGACCTATGATCTTGAAATAAAATTACAAGTAGAATATCTAGTCATTTGTCTTTTTGTTTTTGTCTTTTTTTGGAAGAATATAAAATTATTAGCCTACTTCATTGACCCCCCCTTATGTCTGATGAATTTACTTGGAAATTACTATTTTTGATAATTGAATTTTTTTCGACAATCAGTAGTGCATGGTTCAAAACTCGATAAATAATTAATTATTACATAAATATCAGGTTTGTGACATGATTTGAATTAGTGACGATGTGCACATAACTTTTGCACATATCATGCATTGCGCTTGAAGGTTAATAGTCCATGATCCGAAATTTGATGGATCATAAATCTGCTTCTATATATACATCAATCGTCTCAACTTAAATACTAATCTTGTTGGTTATTAATTTGAATCATGGGTCGCTCATGTGTCCTTCACTGACTTGACCCAACCCATTTAAAGAGATAAGGGTAAGGGAAGTTACAACTTCTCTGAATCTTGTCTTCTACAAATTTTCAACCCTAACTTAGGAGCACATCATGCTATACATTCGAAGGTTAGTGACATATGATTCGAAACTCGATAGATAGTAAATCAGTCATATATTCTATTTCCACTTAAATATTACTAAACTTTTGTGTACGACACATGATTTAATTTCACTATATACATTATGTGTTGCGCTCTTAGTACTGATTAAAGTCCCGAATCAATATTGAAAATTAAATTGCACAATAAGATGATAGTAAAATCTATGATTGAACTAAGTTTATTTAATTATTATAAAAGGTACAATAATGATGAAAATGATAAATGAATTAATGGTAAAATATGTGGAGGAAATTAGTGACATCCAACTGGAAAAGTTTGGTAACATACAGTAAAAAGGAATTAAATAATTGTATTTTTAATATTATCCATTATAGTTCTCTTGTAAATGATCTTATTGTATAAGTTTTTTTTCTGTACCACTAGTGAGTAAGACTGTTACAATTTTTATTTTTTTTTGACTATTAACCTTAAAAGTTTGACATGAAACATTCATTTTAAAGGTCATTAATTAGGTGTAATGATCATTACAAAGTACTTTTTTTTTTTATTTGTTTAGATTCTATACAATATTTTTTACTTACATTAAATAAAAATCCGAAAAAATACTTTTTTTAGTATCAAACACACCCTAACACAAAATTGAAAAACAGAACATATTTTTCAATTTTCTCATGTTTAATTTGGTTGGTCGAAAGTTTTTAAAAATATTTTTCTACAAAAATGGATCTCTTAATAATGAGAAAAATAACTTCCTTAGTAGAAATATAGATTGTGTCCTCCCTATATATCCTCTAACGTACTTCATCTTCACCCCAACCCAGCATAGAAGCTCCCATCCCTATTCCCCTGACCTGACCAACCCTCTCTTATATTTGCTTAGATTCTATACAGTACTTTTTGCTCACGTTAAATAAAAACCCTGAAAAATATTTTTCTCTGTATCGAACACATCCTAACGCGAAATTGAAAAATGAAACATATTTTTTCAATTTTCTCATGTTTGATTTGGTTGGTCGAAATTTTTGAAAAATATTTTTCTACAAAAGCGAATCTTTTAATAATGAGAAAAATAACTTCCCTAGTAGAAGTATAGATTGCATCCTCCCTATGTATCCTCCGACGCAGTTCATTTTCACCCCCAATCCAACATAGAATCTCCCATCCCCATACCATTACCCCGACCCACCATCTCTTGTATTTGTTTAGATTCTATATAAATATTTTTGCTTACTTTAAATAAAAATCCTGGAAAATATTTTTCTTCGTATCGAACAACCCCTAAAGCTAAATTGAAATTTCTTTCATTTTATTCCACGTAAGCAAAAAAATTATATTAATCTGTTTCGAGTCTCCACTTCCCAAAAGTCAAACTCTTTGACTGAAAAACAAATCAACGGCCACAAATGCCTCAAATCTCTTATCGGTCATCACCACCGTCCATTTCTCATTTCAAATTTCAAAATTCCTATAAAGCCCAAAGGGTATTCTCGTCATTTCACATTCTATTGCCGCGAAAAAACTGAAACTTCAACCGTTTGAAAAGCTTCTTCTTCTTCTTCAGTAACAAACTCCAACTTCCTAAAATCTGTTAAAAATCTCTGAAATTTTTTCAATTTTTTTGAAGAGCTAAATGAAAATGACTACAGAGAAGAAGAAGGGAGTGTCGAATTTCTATGAGTTTCATAGTTTTCTTGATCCGGGATGTCCAATTATGCCAATGGGTCCATTTCGTGATAATATTCGGTATTTTCTTCAGGAATGTGCTGAGGTTGAGGAGTATACAATTGAAGGAATGCCAATTTGGTGTACGTTTCTGGTGCATAAGATTAAAGGTGTGCTGATTCCTCTTTACACCATTGAAGAGAATGTGAAGAGCTCTGTTAGAACTTTCTGTGATCACTGTCGATGTGCTGGTAAGTGTTGAATTTGAATACCCTTTTGGCTGTTTTATCGATTTTTGAAGTTGGGTTTTGGAGATTTAGTGGTTCTTTTGAGTTTTTGGGGTTAATGGATTTTGGGGATTTGTCGGTTCTTTTGAGATTTTTGAGTTTTGGGGTTTATGGGTTTTGAGAATTCAATGGTTCTTTTGAGTTTTGGGGTTTATGGGATTTGGGAATTATTTTGGTTCGTTTGAGTTTTGGGGTTTATGGGTTTAAGGAATCTGTGAAATTTTGGTTTTCAGGTTGGAGTCATCATCTTGTTTCGAAGAGGAAGTACCATTTGATTATACCAGCTGATAGTGAATGGAAAAATCATCTTGATGATGGTGTTTTTGATGATCAAACTCACATTTTGCATGGTTTAATTCATTCTAATGGATTTGGGCATTTGATTTCACTTAATGGAATTGAAGGTGGATCGAAATATCTCTGTGGCCGTGAAGTAATGGATCTCTGGGATCGTATTTGCACGAGTTTTCGAGCTCGGTAATGAACATTTCTCTATGATTTTAGGATGTCTGATTCTGTTTTGAATGTATTAGTTCAGTTCTTGAAATATGTTCATATGTTTCTCTTAACAGGAAAATCACTGTGGAAGATGTATCCAGGAAGCATATGATGGATTTGCGCTTGTTGTATGGGGTTGCTTACGGGCATACGTGGTTTGGCCGGTGGGGTTACAAGTTTAGCCATGGAAGTTTTGGGATAATGGAACACCACTATGAAAAAGCTATTGAAATGCTAAGCTCAATTGAGCTTGATCAGGTGATTGATGATTTCAGATACATCAGTAGATCCAATGTTATGAAGCAGGTGATTGCTTGTTATAGAGGTTTGAGCAACACTCCTTTGATCACGGTCCGTGACCTCTTCAGGTTCATCCTTGCTGTCAAGTCCTGCAATTCAGTTAAGGAGAAGCCAAATGTTGCTGCTCCTGTTGTACGAGCCTGTTCTTCACGATACTTGATGAGAAATGCTGCACCAAACAAGTCTGTGGGGATGGAAAAATCAGTGAGGTACAGAAAGTTTTCGAATGTTGCAGCATCTCTTGACAGTAGATGGCCAGTGAGGAGACTTGAGTTCACTGCAGATGTGATTGTTGAGGCATTGAGAGAAAAGAGAGAAGCAATCAGATCTGGAAGTTGTGGGATGAGTAGGCAAGAGGCGCGGGATGCTGCTCGTCTCCACATTGGAGATACAGGATTGATTGACTATGTGCTGAAATCAATGAATAATGTGATTATTGGAGGCTATGTAGTTCGTCGTGCAGTGAACCGAGCCACGAGGGTGTTGGAGTACACGATTCAGGAACTTCGGAATTGTGATCAGCCTGAACAAGAAAAGCTCCCCGAGCCATTTCAGGACTCTGCTGTTATTCCTGCAGCTGATGCGTACACTGATGTTTTATGCTTGTATAATAATCTTCTTCTGAGCTTCGCGGAATCTGATGAGTTAAGCCTGGCTGTTAGGATAGTATCAGACAGCAAGCAATTTTTGAAGGAATGGCCATTTAGTGATGATCCAGATGACAGCTTATTGAGGTTCATTTGTTGCATTTTGCCAAATTCTAATGGTTTGGAAGCTGTATTTACAAAGGGATATCCCCCAGGAGAGGTGGTTGAAGTTCCGCTACACTCAACAATTGGTGATCTAAAGATAGCAGTTGAGTCTGCAATGAGGGACACTTACTGCATTATGGACAATTTGATGATAACAGATATTGCAGGGATGGAGCAACTGGAAGATTATGAAGTGCTCTTTGGCATCGTCCAGTCTGGCTCAGAACTTTGGGTGAGGGGTTTCGGGTTGGATTTGGACAGTGAGTTGAAAAATGAAGGAGGGTCTGATAACTGGACAGTGAACTGTAGGTGTGGTGCTCGGGATGATGATGGTGAAAGGATGGTTTCATGTGATATATGTGAGATATGGCAGCATACTCGGTGCTGTGGCATCGAAGATTCTGAGGTTGTGCCACCGTTGTTTGTGTGTGAGGCTTGCTGCACTTCACTTGCACCACCCAGAGCACAGAACAGCTTTGAGTTTGGTCATTATGGGACTGCTGCAGCACTAGTGCCTTGTGCTTCTCACTTTGGCTTGGACCTGATATACTGAACTTTGAGGGGCAGATCACTGATGTCAAGATTTGTATAGACATCAAAAGGATAATCAGTCATTTCATAGTAGCCATATACTTGTGCAGTTTCTCTGTATTCTTTTCTATTGTTACACATGCAACTCGATTCTTTCAAAGACAAACACAATAAGCAATGATGATCCATTTATTCTGCGCGTCCCCCTGCTTCTTTACACTTTTCTTTCAGATCTTATTGTTCATTTATCTGTTTGATGTACATGTATGATGACTACAACAGTTAAAATACTAGCATTGAAAATCTAGTAGTGAATGTTGGATGGCCTATATCTGTGGATCTTCCAGAAAACTTTAGCTGATTCTGATTCAAGTCATATGCTGATGAATCTTGTACTCACTCCGTTTCAAATTGTTTGTTTTACTTTCTTTTTTAGTCTTGTTTCAAAACGAATGCATGTTTTAAACGCCATGCCAAGTCAAAATCAGAGAAACAAATCGAAATGAAAGTAGCGTCTTTTATAATTTTTGATTTGAATGATTCTTTTACTGTTTAAATGACATTCGCTTTTCGAATAAGAATGATGAAGCAATTTCTAGTAATTTAGCAGCTCAAAAACATTTCAGGCAAGTTCAACATTTTCAACGTGCTTAGTAGGCGCTTGGACATGATTTGATTGAAGTTTGTAAAAAAAATAATTTGAACTTGAAGCTGAAAAGGGATATTTGAAAGTTCTGCTTATTCGAGCACAAATGTTGAAGGCAATAGTAAAGGGAATTATGTTATTCAGTAACTTTTTAGTTAAATTGTGAGAATTTGAACTCTATAGATCATTCTCCGAGTTGATTAACTGAAAATTATGACTAAATTTTAATTGTCGACTCAAAAATTGATCATCCACTTAATTTTTACATTTTGAACCTAGAGTTATCGTTAAAAAAATTCAGTGATTTAGATTGAAATTCCATGTGTTACAATATTCATTGGGTATTACATATAATAAACTTCAAATCTTAGATATGTCTTTCAACATCATCAGTCCGCTACATTTGTTTCTCGATTCCTCATGAGACGCAACACAAGAACCACCCTGTGTCATTTCCATACTCATCAAGCCGAACTATCAGCGATGAATTATGATATTGTCTATTTATCGGATTAAGTTAGCCCAAAGATATTATTAACATGATGTGATGAAATCCACCTAGAATAGAGCTCACACGATTTTTTTTCAAAAATATAGTATTTGGAATACCTCTTTACCTTAGACATAGCTCTCTTTTTTTTCCAACTTCTAATGTGAAATTTTGGGGAACAAGAATGTTGCATATGTGCTATGTAATGGACAAACTATTAAGACACGCAACAACAACAAATCTAGTGTAATCACCCACAGATAGGGTCTGAAGAGGGTAGAGTTAACGCATACCTTAAGGATGTCATTTAAACAGTAAAAGAATCAGTCGAATCAAAAAAGAAAAAAGATACTACTTCCGTTTCAATTTGTTTCTCTGATTTTGACTTGACATGGAGTTTAAGAAAAAGATGCATTCATTTTGAAACAAGACTAAAAAAGAAAGTAAAACAAACAAATTGAAACGGAGTGAGTACAAGATTCATCAGCATATGACTTGAATCAGAATCAGCTAAAGTTTTCTGGAAGATCCACAGATATAGGCCATCCAACATTCACTACTAGATTTTCAATGCTAGCATTTTAACTGTTGTAGTCATCATACAAGTACATCAAACAGAAAATTACAGCGTCTTCTTCATTCATTCTTTCTACCAAACAGATAAATGGACATTAAGTTCTGAAAGAAAAGTGTAAAGAAGCAGGGGGGACGCGCAGAATAAATGAATATCATTGATTATTGTATGTCTTTGAAAGAATCGAGTTACACGTGTAACAAGAGAAAAGAATTACAAAGAAACTTCACAAGTGATTGATTATCCATACAATTATTGTCCTCAGTGAATTGCCTCACTCTGCCCCTAAAAGTTCTTATCTTGTCTATTCCTCATTGAGCAGTACAAGGCATTAGTGCTGCAGAGGGACCGTGTGGTTCTAGTAAAGTTCTCCCCTTGAATGCTGTTTATTGAATCGTTTTCATCCTTTTCACTAGGAGGAGGTTGTAAAGTCCGTGGAACCTGAGCAGTGTGTGCAGTGACGTCTTCGTCTAGTGGTTCTTCTACCTGAACAGTGTCAAAGTTGCTGTAAACGTCCTCTTCCATCTGAATACTATCACTGTTGCTGTAAGCTTCTTCTATCTGAACAGTGTCAAAGTTGCTGTACACTTCCTCTTCCATCTGAATACTATCATTGTTGCTGTAAGCTTCTTCCATGAGTATATCACAACAATGGTACACATGTTCCATTGGACTGTCACCTTCTTCTTCTATCTGAACAGTGTCAAAGTTGCTGTAAGCTTCCTCTTCCATCTGAATACTATCACTGTTGCTGTAAGCTTCTTCTATCTGAGCAGTGTCAAAGTTGCTGTACACTTCCTCTTCCATCTGAATACTATCATTGTTGCTGTAAGCTTCTTCCATGAGTATATCACAACAATGGTACACATCTTCCATTGGACTGTCACCTATTAGCTGTTGGAAAAAATATTAAGCATTAAAACAAGTAAGTAATTTCAAACACAAATCATTAAGCAAGCCATTACCTTTTTCACATAGTATAGTCGGCCATTTACTATTATACATTTCTGCATACTGGCATGCACGGCAGACTCCTCATCCTTGTATTCAATGGTAATTTCTCCACTGCTCGTGAAAAACACGGACACTATATCACCATATGTTGCAAACATGGTGAATATATCCCTTTTTGTGTGTATAGGGTATATATACCCAATTATCTACGATTAAAGATATCATTCAAGTGTTAGAGTTAAAAGAAAAAACAAAGTTAAAGAGCAACCATTAACCGAAGTAGACAGAAAGATATGCCTAAAGACAAAAGGATGCAAGTTTACATGTTCAATAGCACTCTTTCAAGGAGCAACTTCTCAACTCTCACTAAGACATGCTCATATTTTATTTTCATGAAGTACAATAGATCACTTATAACCAATGCAATACAACATGAGGGAAACAACTAACACAAACTCATCTTTATTCAAAAACACAAGTTATTATGGAAATGCACAACCCTCATTAATTCACATCATGAAGTCAAGTATGCCATATCACACACAATGCACAGAAGAAAGCTGCTGATACATTGTCCAGAGTCCCTGCCATTGAATTGGCTGCCTTAACATATCCTTATTGAAACCTTGCCATTCCCTTCCTCCTACACCCACTAACTCTCCAATCCTAGATATTACTAAACCCCTTTTTTCCCAGCTCCACTCAAGATTCTTCAGCGTGGGATGATTTTAAAAGGTTGCAAGGCTGTCCTTCAATGGCTCATCCAATGGGATGGTATTCCAGTTGAGCATGCCAATTGGAAGATGTCAAAACTAAATTTCTAACATTCCTTCCTTGAATGTAAGGAAGTTTTTCAAGAATCCAGATAGAATATACAACAGAAATGGGAAAACGCAGGAATGAAAAGAGTTCTAACTATACAAAAACAATCTTTATACAGGAAAAAAATCTAAGAAAAAATGATACCTTGATAAAATTATTATTATTCATCTTGTATCTTCTGGACTTTGGATTTTGGGAGAGTCTTGATTCTCCTTTTTGATCCAAGAACTTCTTATTCTTTCTCTTTCTCTTTCTTTTTTTTCTTTTTTTCTGCGTGCGTTTTTTTGAATTAGAGCGGGATACTAATTTATAGTAATTTTCAGAGTAATAATAATAATAATAATAATAATAGTAATAATATTTCATTCTATCCTATTTTATGTAAGGTAGTTTGACTCAGCACGAAGTTTAAGAAAAAATGAAGATTTTTAAAACTTGTGATCCAAAATGAATGGTAGAAATTTGTATGAATTTAAATCATTTCATTAAGGATAAAATAGACATTTTATAATTAAATTATTATTTAATATAAAAATGTGTCATTCTTTTTTAAACTTACTAAAAAGAAAAGTAAATCACATAAATTGGGATAGAGAGAGTAATTATTATTATTATTATTAAATAAACAAATAGTTATATTTTATTATTAAATAAATAACCAACTGAAACACGCGAGCTGTTGTAAAGAGCCATAAATTTAGTGGTTCTTTTGAGTTTTTGTGGTTAATGGGTTTTGGGAGTTCATTGGTTCTTTTGAGTTTTGGGGTTTATGGGTTTTGTGAATTTATTGGTTTTTTGAGAATTTTGAGTTTTGGGATATTTTTGGTTCATTGAGTTTTGGGGTTTATGGGTTTTGGGAATTTTATTGGTTCGTTTGAGTTTTAGCGTTTATGGGTTCTGGGAATTTTTTCGTTTGAGTTTTGGGGTTTATGGGTTTAAGGAATCTGTGAGTTTTTTCAAATTTTTTTTGAGTGCTAAGTGAAAATGATTACAGAGAAGAAGAAGGGAGTATCGAGTTTCTATGAGTTTCATAGTTTTCTTGATCCGGGATGTCCGATTACGCCCATGGGCCCGTTTCGTGATAATATTCGGTATTTCTTCAGGAATGTGCTGAGGTTGAGAGTATACAGTTGAAGGAATGCCAATTTGGTGTACGTTTTTGGTTCATAAGAGTAAAGGTGTGCTGATTCCTCTTTACACCATTGAAGAGAATGTGAAGAGCTCTGTTAGAACTTTCTGTGATCACTGTCGATGTGCTGGTAAGTGTTGAATTTGAATACCCTTTTGGCTGTTTTATCGATTTTTGAAGTTGGGTTTTGGAAATTTAGTGGTTCTTTTGAGTTTTTGGGGTTAATGGATTTTGGGGATTTGTCGGTTCTTTTGAGATTTTTGAGTTTTGAGAATTCAATGGTTCTTTTGAGTTTTGGGGTTTATGGGATTTGGGAATCATTTTGGTTCGTCAGAGTTTTGGGGTTTATGGGTTTAAGGAATCTGTGAAATTTTGGTTTTCAGGTTGGAGTCATCATCTTGTTTCGA